CGTGTGAGGGCCTCTAGGTGCCAGACACGATGCTGGGCCCTGCCGACCGGGGACGCTGCTGGATCCATACCGTCCAGAGGCCAGAGGGACACAACTTCAGATGCAAGCCAGCAGATGGCCGGCCCGGGCTCAGTGATGGTGCCCGAAGCGGGAGCCTCCCTGGGGACCCGCTGGCCTGACCCCTGAGGCTGGGTGGGTGCAGGACACCCTCCCCTGGGCGGGGCCGTGCCATGGGTCTGTCACAGAGGCAGGGCTGGTGGGCCGGCAGCATCCTTGCTTAGCACTGAGCGAGCACAGGAGCTGACTCTCCCTTGGAAGGGCTCCCTTCCAGCTGGGGACCACGTGATGGTGATCCCCCCCAACGCCCACCCCCTCCCACCATGTTCCCGCGAGTGCTCAGACCTGAACGCACACCCGGAGGCCTGTCTCACAGCTGCCTGCCTGCTCATCAGGGGATCATGTTCCATTCCTGCTCCCGAGACCCCCTCACAGATCAGCTTGCTGTGGGAGGCCAGCATCAAGCACCCCGTGACCCACACCTTCATTCATTACCGGTCCCACTGCCCCGTGGGCCCAGCTGGGGCCCTTTCCCCTTCTCTGGCCTCACTGGGCTCCCTGGGCTTGTCAGGAGGAGGCTCCGTCCTACCTGACGATTGATGGATCGAGGGGCTCCTCCTGGGCTCACGGCCTGGGGCTGCCTCCCCTACGCCCGGCCGTGGCCGTGGCCCTGGGCCCTCCAGCCCACTCTGTCCTCCCACTCACCCGAATTTGGCAGGAGGCGTGGATGCCTGTGCCAGGGCAGGAGAGGGAAACAGACATGAGAACTGAACATTTCAAAACTACAACAAAACTAACAGAAGGCACTTTATCAAGCGCTGTCCTCAGGGCACGGTCCTTGGGGCACTTGACCAGTCATGCCGCCACCGGCCTGTTTCCGGTCATCGTGGGCGTCCCGGGTAAGCTGGCTCGTGGCTCCGAAGCCCAGCCACACACTGTAGTGACTCAGGAGCTTTAAAAACTACATCAGAGCCCGCCAGAGTCTGGGGGCCCTGCAGGTGGGCATTTTATAAAAGCCCTGGAGGAGTCTAACGTCCCCCGGAGTTGGGGACCCCCGCCCCATGCCGTGTCCCCCACGCTCCATCTCTCACCGTGTCCTCACACTGTGTTTCACAAGCAGGTGTTTCATTACAGCCAAGGCCTGAAGATTTACGCTGCAGGCTTTCTTCACTCAGCCAAGGGTTTACAGTCCAACTGGCTAGGATCCCTTTCCAAAAACCCAGCGTTTTCTCTTTAAAATGAATTGATAACAGTTTCTGGATAAGCCCCGAGGTGAGCGGGCAGCTCCATACAACAGAGCCCTGGAGCTCTCCCTCTGCCCCAGCCCTCTCCCCCCTCCGGCCCCTCCCTGCTCTTCTCAGGAAGTGCCACCCACAGTCACTCTGGCACAGTCCGGCTTCCCGGTTCTCTCTCCCTCCGCCCAGGCCCCAGGCCCCTGTGAGCACTCCTGACTGTCCCCACACCTCTGCTCCCCACCAACATCTAGGCACAACCAGGGTCCCACTTAATTTTTAAAATTTGACATCATTTCAGACTTACAAAAACAGTGTAACAACTTCCTTACACCCCCCACCCAAACTCCCCAATGCTAACATCGTGCCACGTCTGCTTTGTCCTCCCAGGCACCCAAGATCATGAGAGTAAATTGCAGACATGGGGTCATGTGTGAGGGCCTGCGAGGTGCCGGGCATGGTGCTGATCCTTACAGTCCGGAGGCCAGAGACCACAATTTCAGAGGCAGTGATTAAAACCCCGTGGCAGGGGCGAGAGCACTGACCTGCAAGCCACAGGGGGCCAGCGCCTGGCTGGGTGGGTGACGGGAGTCTGCTTGGGAGCTCGGCTGGCCTGAACCCCGAGGCCTGGGTGGGCAGCAGGGCGTCCTGCCCTGGGAGGGGCCAGGCCCGCGAAGGTGCTCGCAGAGGCAGGTCATGACTCTCCTCCAATTTTGCCTTTCCAAGCCCCTTTCAGTAACAGATGTAAATCAGCAGCAACAGGCCTAGAAACCAGGCCTTTGTCATTCTGGTACCTGTATCTTCTCCTTGGTGATAAGCCCCCTGGGACTTAGGGCTTGCCTTGGGAAGAGGTTTCAGGAGACCCGAGGTAGAAGGCACCCACAGGAAGATTGGAGACCGTCGCTGAAAGTGCCCTGTCACTTTCCATCTCAGAGCCCCTTCTTCATCAATGGCGATTGTAACCATCAGCCGGTCACTTCACACCTGAATGGCTACTGTTTATAGAGAACTTTCAGCCTTTTTATTCAGTCCTTGCTGACAGGTAGGAATGATTCAGCTTGCAGCTGCCAGCCACAGAAGCCCACTCTGGCTAACTTAGTACACAAAAAGGATGAGCACAAACTGGAGGGGTGGGCACTGAGTCCAGGGAACAAACAGGAGGCTGGGGAGCCAGGGACTGGCCTGCTGGTGGCCGGACAGCAGGCACCACGGCCAGGGAATGGCAAGCACACCCCGCAGCCTTCCTTGTCCAGCTTGCTTAGACCCCAAGAGCTGGGAAGAGCATTGGACTGACCAAGTGTAGGCCCTGGTCCTGCTCTCAGCCGCACCAGGGGCAGGAAAAGGTCAAAGGTAGCAGGTGATGGTTATAAGGGGGGGCATTGGGTGGGCTGGAAGCTGGGTAATTCCACCTCTCCCTAGGAAAAGCTCACAAGAAATGTGCAGGATCTATGGGAAGAAAAGCCCAGTGCACTAAAAGCATAGGAAAACAAGCCTAATGGGTGGGTAAAAACACTACCCACCTTGGAAAACTCTATAATAATAAAAGCATAACATGCAAATCGACCGACTGGCCGAACAGCGGAATAACCATCCAGACGTCCTTCCGGACAACCTTCCGGACGAAGCTGGGGCTGCGAGGGCCGAGACAGCTGGGGCTGCGAAGGCCTACTCTTGCACGAATTTCATGCATAGGGCCTCTAGTCTTGTTACCAAGGTGATACTCTTGTAAATTAATATACAGTCATTGTCATCCCATACAAGACCCCTAAGCGATCTTTAAGAAACAAAACCTATTCAAAAATTCACATGAAAGACAAAAAGTAGAATGGCAGTGACAATCTTGAAAAGTAAGGATGAGAAATTAAAAACATATCATAAAACTATAGTAATTAGAATAGCAGATTAAACAAAGATGGTGCAAAGAAAATGAAGTTAGAGTCACACTGTGCAGCAGTAAAAAAATAAATGTCAGGTGGGTTAAAGATTAAAAACTGTATGGTTATATGAATAAAACATAAGAAAATATTTAAAACTTTGACATAGGGAAGGGTTCTTAAATATGGAAATCTAAAATTGATAAAACTGACTTCTAAAATGGCTACAGCCACATCAAGTGCACGACAGCAGTTAGAAGACACGCAGCGAAATAAAACATGTTCACGTGTCAAAAGACACGTATGAGACTCCACAGGGCAGCCGTGTTCATCGTAGCCCCAAAGTGGCACAGCTCGGTGCTCATTCACGACGGTGCAGAGAATACTATTCAGCAATAAAAAGGAAAATATTGATCATTGTAATGGGGTTCTCAAAAACATGACGCTGAACAAGAAAGATACCAGACAGACCACATACATGATCCCAATTCAAGTGACCCATAGAAGCAAATCTATGGCGGGAAAATATCAGAATAGAGGCCGCCTGTGGGGATGTGCGGGGTAAGGAGCAGGGGGGAGCCCTGGGAGTGCCGGGAATCGGGGCTGGGTGATAGCTGTGCCCTTGGTGAAAACTGAGCAAGTGCACACTTAAGATTCAGATGCTTTATTGTATGTAAATTTCATCTAAAAAAAAGAAAAACCAACTCTAAACTATATGTATTTAGAGGAAGGGTGCTAATGACTACAATTTACTTTGAAATACATCACCATGTAGGTGGATTGATGGGTAGGTGGATATGTGACACGGCAGGTGTAATGAAATGTGGCTGGGAGGCTAGTCGATGGTGCGTGGCGCTAATATTCCTGCAACTTTTCTGTATGTTTGCAAATCATCATGTTGGAGAAAAAAGGTAAGCAACCGACTGCAGGGGACATATTTCCAACGTGAGGTTTTACCCAGAATATATAAAGAGCTAACTCTCAATAGGAAAAATGAAAAACCCAGTTGAAAATAGAAACCTCTGTACAATACACATGCGTGCGCACACGGGCGTGTGTACACACACACACACACACACACACACACAGCCTGCAGAGAAAAGTCTGGAAAAATTCACTCTCTTGCCTTGGAGAGGAGCCAGAACAACTTGACTTGAAATGATAAATGCACACATATACACACATGCATATCTAATTACAAGGCCAGATTCGTGCATTACTTAAAGCTCAGCCACGGTCTCTAACCTTCCCAGCACTTACTTCAGAGTACAAGTGGCAAGTTATGCAATTATAGGATTTTGTAGGTTATATCCCCAAATCAGCCTTTAATTTCCACATCCACAAACTAGCTCACCCCCAATGCCCAGCGCAGGCCGGACACTCAATGGGCCCTTTATAGGCGGCATGGTCAGTTCACGGGGTCCTCTTTGGCCCTTCTCTGGGGCCTGGGCAGGTGCTGCAGACAAGCCCTTCATCCCGGATTCCAGCTTTTGGGTTTTCTTCCAGCTTTGAGCAGGGGTGAGATGGCAGGGTCTCTGCCATCATCACTCATTAACATGGTTCGGAGCTGGCTCCCAATACCCCCTCTACCAGGTGCTGAGTCATACCTGAACACGTGAGTAGACACTGCATTGTCTCGCCAGCCACTTCAAACCTCTAGAGTGGCTTGCTTTCAAATATAATACGCAGGATCGTCTCCAAGCGAGAACTCGCAAAACCCACAGGCAGGTGATACACTCTGTGGCTGGCAAAGGGTGGGTGTGGGCGTGTACACATTCACATGTAACTCCAGCTGTTCCGCCGCCGTCTTGTGAAACGAATCAAACAGTTTACCAAAACCAGTTGAAAAGTTTTATTTATATAAAATTCAGTAAGAACATAAAAAGATTGAGTTTCTTAAAAAAAATCTGCAGTTATTTACAGCAGTATTGCACAATAAAGTGGCAATTACCCTGTCAAAATTCATCAGTGCAAACCAAAGTGAGCCAGGGAAATTGCAATACGAATGCTACAATATGCTGGGTCCTAGGAACACATTAGTGATGAATCAGTATCCACACAGATCAGTGCTCTTGTACAGGAGTACCTGATGAGTTCCAACACAGTGACGAGTGGTCACGGGACCTGGACATAGGCCTCGGAGAGCTTCAGAAGTCTGGAACTGCCCAATACAAGTAGTCAAGTTACTTCGCTGGGAGCTTGAAGATGCTCTTGCATGCCGCACTGTTTGGAGTAGAAGCTACCCCGGCTGGTTTAGCCTCATGTGTGAACACATCCCTGCACACACGCATGTGCAAAGTGAACACACACAGGCACCAGGCTAAATCAGCAGGGATGACAGACCATCTACACCAAACCAGGAGGAAAGTCTCTCTTAAGCTCCCACATCTTAATACCCATCCTGATGGGGCCCCCAACCTCTCCTGAAGCAGGACATCAACCTAAGGAAGCAGGCCGACCCAATGAGGGACCAAAGTTCCGGGCCAGGAGCCTGTACAATTAGCTCCTGAGGACAATTCAGTCCACACCTCGAAGCACCGGAGGCCACGCAGCAGGCGGAGGCGGGCAGCTCACCGGTTGCCAACAGGGGGCGAGTGGCACGAGCAGGTAGGTCCTCTGGTTGGTCTGGAAGCAGGAACCTCTCCCACCCGCCCCCTGCCCTCTGAATACTGAGTTGTCGGGTATACATTTTCAATGCATCAATCTGTCCCAACTACCGATAACACTTTTTTTTTTTGGAAGACAAATCCTGGAAGCTAATAGAATTTGCTTCCATGAGAAGCTAGCTGTTTTGGAACCAATAGAAAGTCACTGGGTATTTCCCGAAGAATTTTGAAACCTGCCCGATTTATGGTCTCTCATTGGTGTCTAAACATGAGCTTTATCAAAGGACAGCAAAGACCAAGCATGTAAACCCATTTGACCATATACCAGGAACCAAAGCTGGAGAGCCACCCTAGGAAGACCATGTGTCCGGCAGTGAGCTGACCAGTCGCCACCTCAGAGTTAAAGCAAACAATGGGATGGTGGGGGGGTGGGGGAAGGAGGGAAGGGCGTGTCAGAGGTCAACACTTTATAGAACTTAAGACATTAAATAAGCAGAAAATAAATATACATTATGTCTACAAGTTACAGCACTATGAACCAGTAGGACACATTACACAGAAAAAGAATCTACAATATTTACAATCCTTAATTCTGAAAAAGTTTAGTAAAAAACAGTGATTTTTTTTTTTTTTTTGCTCATTTATGCTGTACAAAATTTTACAAGAAAGGTAAAGGAGACAATTGCACACAGACATTTGGCTCAGTTGGTAAGTAAAATATGATCTAATCTAATAAATAGTCAAAGTATGTACAATATTAAGAAGGGGAAACAGGAGAAGGTTCGACTGAGTACATTTTTTTTTTTTAAACCAGAAGGAATTTTTACCTGGTTTCTCCACAACTAAAAACAAATTCTTCATAAACTCATTTTTAGGCCGGACTACGGGTAAATGCAAGAATCGCTGTGGAGCGACTGGGGGGCATTTACTGCATGTCTGTGATCGTCACAGAACGCGTCCTACAAATCTTGCATGAGAAGAGGTGGTCAAGGCACAAAACCCGCATCTCATAAATTTTCAGAAAGGGAGCTAGTTATTTTTTCTACCAAGAAATAAAACAGAAAAGAAAAAGTAAAAGGCATACCATCGCAGGTATACTTTCTGCAGGAAGCATTGTGATACACAGATACATACAGTACAGAGACACCCAGTCACCTCTCATGTCCTGGTGCAACATCCTGTTCTTAATACTTCTACACGTCCAAGAATCACTTCCTCACACGCGTGGCCACGGCCAGCTGCCAAGCCAGAGGTAAAGGAGCGCACGCAGCGAGCGAGCCCGCGGCCCGGGCTGCATCCTGCGCTCCCAGAAACAGGGTAAAGTGCTCCAGTCAGAGGGACCGGCACATGAGTACGGAGATCCTGGGGGCGGATGGGCCCAGAACCAGATACATCTTTGGTGTGTGTGTCCAGCAGGCCCACGGCCGCAGCGTTACCACCACCTCCGGCGGTGTGGCCTTGGTGCCCCAGCAAGGGGGTTCCAGACCTACCAAGAACACAAGCTCAGCCTCAACAGTTTTAAAAATATTCAAGACCCCAAGAAAGGATTTGGGGGAAAAAGAAATTTTAAAAAAGGAAAAATATCTGAGATCGAATATTTCTACCTAAAGAAAGCGTATATGCAAAATATATATACACACACGTATATACATATATGTATACATATATATTTATATAAAACTATGAAGAGACACATGAATTTCTCCTTGCAATTTAACAATGTGAAAACGCTGGCCCTTGGTGGGCCAAAAGGAAATGCAATAGTTGTTGGCACTGCTGACTCATTTGAAAAATCATGTATTTCTCTTAAAAAACTGTTTCATGATCTGAGGTTTCAAAAACTGTCGGGAGTTGTGGGTTCACAGAATGATCGGCACCGTCCTTCCCTGCTCTCTAACCGGTCCCTCTCGGGTCTCCCCGTTGTTTAACTGCCTTTGAAATGACTGGTCACCCATGGGTGCCCTCACTGCAGTCCTCCCAGGTGGGAGTGGAGGAAGCAGTGGATGCACAGAGGCGGCCCGACGAAGCCCAGCTGTCAGAAGGGACCGCTGCAGACGTGTGCCTCATGAGTTTCCATGGCGCTGCTCAGAGCGAATGAAGCCTGTATTTCAAAGTGGGTATTGAAGAGCGGGAACCCAGTGGTGGGCATCAGAGGCCAGATCAACTCGGAAGTGGATGGAAAGCCAGGATGCCCAGGAAACAGCCACCCGAAGCCCCGCCCACCACACAGCCTGTGCCAATTCCCACGAGGACTGCAGCTTGGACTCCTGCAGCCCAATTCAGCTGCAGGTGGGCCTGCCAGCCCCCGGGGGCCTCATGCTGAGTGCCCCCTGTGCTGAGGGGAAGCCTGCAACTGGAAAAGCCAACAGTGCCAAGGGCCCTGATACTGGGTCTGTGCTGTCACCACTCCCTCTCTTCAGGACACTTGTACTTCAACGCCAGCCCACCAACCCACGTGGAAACCAGTACCGAGCACTTCCTGGTGAGTGAGCTCCCCAAAGACTGGCTGAGCTGTGGGCAACACAGGCAGATTCCAAGTCACGTTCTGACCCAGTTACACTTGAATCGTGAAGACGCACTGGACCAAATGTGTGCATGAGCACCCAGGACAGAGAGAGGAGCATCACAGGAGAAGACGAGCCACACAGACAAGCTGCACTTTTGCCACGGACGCAATTACATTTAAGGAGGTAAGTCAATATTTACACAGTGGCAGTGGCATACCAACACAGGCTGACAAAAGACCCTTTACCCCTTGAATCAGTTGCATCTCCTAAGAATTTTTTGGTAATCATGATTAAAAGAAGGCGAGAGAGGCAACGGCAGGGAGGGAGGGGCCATATCATACACACCTCTCATGTTCCAAAGTCCTGTACAGTAGCCTGTAAAAATAAACCAAGGCAGCTTTAGAAACCAGCTGGCTCAGTTTCCACATGAGAGTTTCCATAATAGGTTCTTAAATTTTTAGTAAAAATTCATTTACGAGTTGGTTAAAAATTTCCACTTCCTTTTTAAAAAAACCTGTTCTGACACCATTCTTGCCTAAAATCCTGCTCCAAAGAACCATGATTAGTAACATTTTTAAAAGGAAAATACGCTCTCATTTACATTCATAACAAACACTACACTAGAGCCTCTGCCACATGGCGAGGAACCGGTAAGGTCAAGTCCGCACGCAGCTCCAGGGGTCAGGCCACACCGGCCGCTCTGGAACCGCCACTGGCCGCAAAGCAGTGGCGCCAGGGGGCCGTGACGCTGGGCTTGTCCACTTGAACAAGTGAAATGTCTGCACACATCTCGGCTCCACGGGAACCCGTCGTCACAGCATCCTCCTCCACACCAGACGGAGGATGTAACGCAACAGTCGTAAGACCACCATCTGGGGGTGGCCTTCTGCTTCCCGGTAAACATTCAGAAAGTCCTGGAACAACAAAAGGAAAGCTGCTTACTTTCTCAGTTTCACGGACCCGAACCAGCCCCGTCCCAGCAGCCCTTTTCCCCGGGGCCGGCGAAGGGAGGCCTCCCCACTCCCTGCAGGAGGTGCACCTCCACAAAGAGCAGGCACACCGAAGGGTCTTTTTCAAAGAAAAATAAAGCAACCAGAAGACTGTTTGGAAAAGCAGAGCGAACCCTGGCATCTCCGGGAGCGCCTCTGAAGACCACATGTTCCTGTCACAGGTGATACCCTCACTGGCCGCTGGGAGGGAGCACCGCCCGGGGCTGGAGAGCCGCTGCCCGGGCCCCCGGAGCTGGTGTCCGCCAAGAGGGACAGGGCGCAGGGGAGGGAAGAATGACCCTGGTAGATGTGAAGCAGCTTACGGCCCAAGTGTTTCAGACTCCCCAAAGGGTGAACTTCTGGGGGCTGTGACAAGGGCCCGGTCTCAGACCCCACGCCGTTCCGACAGCAGCTGCCGGGCAGTCCCCTTCTCGACTGTTGCCACAAGCCCCCGAGCACCTGTGGCCCGAGCAGGACGGCGGTAAGGCCGAGCGAGGCACTTCCCAACTCCTTCCAGAGCAGACGAGGAAGCCGGTCGGCCGGCGGGTCCCGCAGGCTCCTGAACCACAGTCCGATTTTATCTGTCACACACCAGGTGGCTTTGTTTTGATTTAACTTTCAAAATCACTTGGCTTCTTCTGTGTGAGAAGAATTTGGGGGAGGTTTTAGTTCAGACTAATATTAGTAGGTTGAAAGAGGCTTATTCAAAATAAAACCACGACTTACTAAAATGAAGAAAGGGTGTGCAGTGCCGGGTTCAGCAAGCACTTCGAGATGGGAAATCTCATGGCAGCCAGGTGCCAACGCAGCCTCAGCAGAACCAGAGAATGGGGTGAAGATGACACCAACCAGGGAGCCGGTCACACGGGCACAGACTTAACCAATTTCATATTCCAGAGCCGCAGTGTCTGAGGAGACCCCTCCCCGCCCCCACCCGCCAGTACAGCAGGGGACATGGAGAAGGAAAAGTCACACCACGAGAGGTCTGCCCACGTTTAGAGCTCTGCTTTGATCTCAGATGGGAAGGACACGAAGGGGATTCAAAGATGTGCTGGGAGGGGTTGGTGCGGGGATTTGTGGCAAAAGGAACGTAACACCTGCTCCCCCCCCCCCCGCCCGACAGATGAGAAGTTACTACAACATCTCAGCAAGGAGCCAGACCGCCTGCCCTCTCAGACAGCACGCGTGACAACACGGCACACGCTTTTAAGCCAGCGAACAATTGCTTTTGGACAATATTCAACAGAGGAAGCTATTACCACTGATTCCAAGGGCTGTGCCAGCCCAGAAAACCCCCGACAGCTGGCACAGCCACGGGAGCTGCTGCCGGCTCCAAGGGTCCAGCCCCCACCTCCAAAGCAGCCGGACGGGCACCCTGCTTCCGCAGGCTCGCTGCCCTCCAACACCTGCACCGGTGGCCCGAGAGCCACGGCTGGGTGAGGACGTCCAGCCAGGGCCCGGCCATCAGCGTCACCCAGACCCTGTGGCCCAGCCAGCACGAGCCCGCAGACTGCTGGCCTCCAGGACTGTGAAGAAACACATTTCCACTGTTTAAGCCCCCTGTGTGGTCCCCTTTGGCACAACAGCCTGAGCTGAGTCCCACAGCCTCTCACTCCTGGCCCTCCACACTCTACGTGAAACACAGCACCCGTTAGGTTAGCGTCGTGTAACACGGTTTTATTCTAAATCATAAAAATACTTTAGATACAAACTATTTGTGTATCACAGTTTCCTGTTGCTCACACACGCTCACAGGTACCTGAGTGCATGGCCCATCCCTGTAGGGCAGCGGTTCTCAACCTGTGGGTCGCGACCCCTTTGGCGGTCGAATGACCCTTTCACAGGGGTCGCCTAAGACCATCCTGCATATCAGATATTTACATTACGATTCATAACAGCAGTAACATGACAGTTATGAAGTAGCTACGAAAATAATTTTATGGTTGGGTCACAACATGAGGAACTGTATTTAAAGGGCCAGAAGGTTGAGAACCACTGCTGTAGGGGATTTCATCTCCATGGTCTAGATCAGGAACTGTATTTGAAGACACTGACTTTATGGCCAGCCCATGTGTCTGCAGGGACTCCTTCAACGTCAGTTTTGTGTCTTGTTCCAAGAACCCACTCCTGACCGCCTGCCCTCCTCCCTGCAGGGTGGGGGCTCCAGCAGCCCAGGCCTGCGCGAGAGGGAGGGGAGGCGGGGCCCTGGGCTCCAGCTCTGAGGCCCCTGCCTACACTCCCTGTGCCTGATGGGCAGTCCCGCGGCACGGGCACCAAGCGCAGCACAGCCACGTACAGCCCATCTGAGGGCCCCTGTGGCGCTGCCCTCCGTGAGGACGGCCGCTGCCCCACCTCTGGGACCCGGAGGAAGTGTACAGGTCCCCACCTCGAGGACAGAAAACCATCCAACACTCCAGAGAAATACAGGCCGGCTTTCCAGTGGGCAGCAGAACGGAGCCAAGACACGGAGGCTCCTTCCGTCAAAAGAGATGCAACGTGAGCACCTACGGAGCTCACCCTGGTGAGGGACAGAGCCAAACAGCTGAACAGGATCCTACGACAAGGGCCACACAGGGAAACATGAGGGCAGAGAAGGAAGGAGGGCCGGGCAGGAAGGCCCAGGCCCACCCCCACGGGAGTCCCGAAGGAGGAAGGGTCTCAGGAAGGAAAGGAGGACATTCCAGGAGACCAGCGGAGTCACGGCAGGAGGTCCAACGGCCCTGCACCGGGGAGGGAGCAAACAGTCCAGTCAAATCGCATGAGCATCTGGTTTCTCACAATAAACCACGACAGAAACCAATGCCAGACTCCAGGGTGTCGGCTCCAATGACAGTCCCTGAAAAATAAAACAGGAGGATGGAGGATTCGCGGGCTCCAAGCTTCCCGGGGACAGGCGAGGCCCAGGTGGCCCTGGAGACACTGGCTCCCCTGGGCAGCAGGTAGAGCAGGCTCCCTGAGGACTCCCAAGGGCTGGGAGCAGCCAGCGGGAAGATGCCCGGCCCACGTGCAGGGCAGAGCTGGGGTGCTGCACACCCCCGAGACCCCCGTGTGCAGCAGCCTAGAGCACAGAGGATGCCGACACAGCGTCACCCACCCCCGAGGACCGTTTACAACTTCCAGCCTGAGTAACATGTCCCAGGTTACACTAGGGAATTTAATTACACTTTAATGCCAAAATAATCACAGCAAAACAGGCTCTCATCCCAAACCAGAGAAGCAGGTGGGTGGACACAGGGGCCTCGTCCCAGCCTGCCTGGGACCTGGTGAGGAGGCTGACCACTGCCAACCTGGCCCGCAGGGCAGCCTTCCTCTCCTGCAGAGAGGGAGGAGCCAGCCCGGAAAAGCCGCCCAGACACCCCAGGCCCCCAGCTTGGAGACAAGGAGACTCACCCACTGCTATCCCTGAACTAAACAGCATGCACACGCCTCCCTTCAGTCTTCACAACAACCCTGAGCCAGTGTGGTGGAGAGACCGAGCTCCACGTGAGAATCAAGAACCCATGGTGCAGCTGCACCTGGAGCCCACTGTGGGCACCGGCCCACCAATCCGCGCCGCAACGGCAGGGCCAACGACCGCGTGAGTGCCACACACCCACGCTCAGCATCGCGCCAAGCCATTTTTTAACTCGCTCAACAACTTCTTTCTTTCAAGATTTCAACGCCGAATGCCCAAGAGGTCCTGAACTTTACAGGAGAGTGAATTCTGGGCTGTGAGACCAAAGAGGACTCTGACAGAGAGGGAACTGCCCCGGGTTCAGGCAAGGGAGGATGCAGGGTCCCCCAGGATGGCATTGGCATCCCCAGGGCTGGCCTGGCATCTGTGGGGTGGTGCCGAGGGTCTCCGTAACCAGAGGTGACAAGGTGGGGTGGGGATAGAGAGCAGCCAGTGGTACCCAGGGAAGACCACCATCCCTCTGCCCATTCATAACCAATCCGTCGAAACAGTATTTTAAATGGCAAGCAAATGAGAGGCTGCAGGATAGGACCCCTGTCCACTGTGAGACCAAGGACCAGTCACACAGCAGCTCAGCTTAGATTTTATGTGGCTCCACCATCCACTGCCCTTCTCAGCTGGCAGGCCAATGCTGCTGCAAAGCAATCCAAAGACCAAATTCACTTTCCACTTGTACCCAGGCAACAGAGGCATCGCACAGCTGTGGGCAGAATACCAGGAGCCCGATGCCAGAGGCAGTGCTCTTACTGGAAGCCCGGGGGGAGCTTGCCCGGGCACCTCCCGACTCCCGAGGCTCCGGCTGACCTGACTGGGCAGTGATGCGATGTCAAACGTCACAGCAAAACGGCATTTGCATGAATGCTGTGTTTTTTTTTCTCAAATATATATTTTATTGATTTTTTACAGAGAAGGAGGGAGAGGGATAGAGAGTCAGAAACATCGATGAGAGAGAAGCATCGACCAGCTGCCTCCTGCACACCCCCTACTGGGGATGTGCCCGCAACCAAGGTACATGCCCTTGACCGGAATTGAACCTGGGACCCCCTTAGTCCCCAGGCCACCGTTCTATCCAGTGAGCCAAACCGGCTAGGGCCCACTTTCCTATTTTTGATGCACTATTTCAAAGACTCTGTCACAGTCAAGGCCTTTTGTAGGACCATGAATCACTCCTCCAGTTCACCTTAGTCAGGCCTGCCATGTCCTGGGTTTTCCTCCAACAACACGCATGTCTACCTGCAGTACAAAGTCACTGGCCTTGCCCTGGGCCAGGCTGGCTGGAACGAAGTGCTCCCATCACCTGTGAGGGTCACAGGAGGGGGGCCAACCAGAGGGCGCCAGTGTTCCGAAAGGCCCAGCCTCAGAAACATGCTAATGAGACGTGCACACTAACCACAGCGCTAACCTCTGCGTGGCTCAGCTGGAGGGCTAGCGAGGGTGACGGAGAGGCAGGGCGCCTGCAGGGGCCGAGGCT